AGAAGCCATGTTCCTGCAAAAATAGAAGATAAGTTTCTTCACACATGTAGTATTCCTGTTGGAAAGAGTTGTGCACTCTTGTTAATCAATTGTGTCCATCATTTTGCCGAGGGTACTTCCCAAAATAATGCCTTGTGCACCTTCAGAAATAGTACTGCATACATTTTGCTTAGAAGAATATTGCATCTCCCTCAAGGAGCTCATAGTTTTGAAAGAAAAAACAAGATTTTCCACACATTATTCAAGGAATACCATACTTTGATAAAAGGACCACTACATAATATACACAAAAGAACTCCATCTTGAAAGCTGGAATGATGCTTTAATGTCCGAGGGAATATTGCACCCTTTTCAAAGAGATGATGCACTTTCTTGAAGGAAAATATTCCAGATTCAGATATTTATAAACATTCACTTCAAAGAATGCCATGATCACAAAAAAGCACCATGGTATATATAAATGGATATAAACGGATCTTAATTTGAAATGGTGTTGGAATCTGCTAGCAGAATGCGACATAACCTTTTATGAAATCGTATGAAATCGTATGCGTATTGAAGGTCTTTTTCAGCCCATTAACTGCGCTCTTTTCAAATACATAATGCAATCTTTCAAAGGGAATGCACAAAGTCAGGCCACACTGTCTTTGAGGCATATCACGGTTTTCGAAAAATACGACTTGGGATCACAGATATTGGAGGATTGTATGTAAAAATGCCGAACCTATGTCCTAAGTGCACTCTGTCGGCTTTATCATTTTTTTCGGCATTGTTTTTGAAAAGTGACAAATTATCCAGAAAATTAGATGAACATATATTGATGAAATATAAAATTACCCTCAACCCGTGCCCAAGTCTCTGAGCATCTGATTTTTCCCAATTTGGGGACAAGAAGGCCGGAACTAGCCAGAGTCATGATGTAGGACAGATTAATCAGGATTAATCCAGATTAGTCAGGATCATAGCAAAACCTCGAGAAGACCAAAAAAAAACAACAAGAGAAAAAGGATTTGGCAACTAGTCCAGAGGTCAGAGTAGTTGGTGTTCTAATTTTTTTGGGGGTGTGGAATAATCATGGTTAATCAGGATTAATCTTGGTGGAAGTGAGACAGACCAGAGCGTTGATGTGCCAGACACATGCTTTTGTGAAGAGACGTGCTATAGGATAGCCTACATTCAAACGAACTGTTGTGAGTTTCTTCATTGAATGTCTACCCCAAAAATTTGAAATGCACCGCTCACAACAGGCTTTCCGAATTAGAAAGGATAGGTTGATATATAACTTCCCAACAAAATCATCGATCAACTGGAGTTTTGAATGGCTTTGAGCACTTCCCAAATGACATTAGATGACCTAAACGATGAGCTAAAGGGTAGTATAACCCCCTAAAATCGCAAATGACCTTAGCTATCCTTAGCTAAATATTCGTGTCCTTCCCTTTGGACTCCCAGGGGGGTTGGAGGGGCACCACTGGGCACCACTCCTTTCCAGGCCTGCACCGCTTCCGGCCGCCTTCGCCACCACCTTCGTCCTGGATGTATCTATAACATACGCGAATACATACATGTAAAAGATAGTTATATAATATATATATATATATGCGTATATATTATGAAAAAAACATACATAATATATATATTTATATATATATATGCGTATACGTATACATATACATATACATATACACACGTCCATATAACAGTTTGCTTGCTTTGTTATTTATAGATTTATAGCATTTTATGATTCATGATTTATACACTGAATCGATGGGTTTCGAACTGCAAAAATTATGTCCAAAAATGGTGAGCAACTGGGCTGTCGACGAGCTCGAGGAACCACCTGGCAGAACTGGGAGGGTCATTCCCATCTCTTCCCCATGTTTTAATGTTTGAATCCACTATTTATGGAAAGAAATGCGTAAACTCATCTACAATGGAGACCGATGTTAGTAATCAGCATCTTATGAACAACAAATAATTCATAGTCCTCCCTGGGACGAATGTAGAGGATCCGCAGGTAGGACTGCCAACACTGCCCACACCATCTTCACCCCAAAGCCGGATCGCACCGAAGCCAAAAAGCGCTTGCTCCTGCAAGGGGGGGGCATCTTCCTTGGGGGCTGAAACTCCAAGTGTTCCAAATCAGGGCGGATGTATGATGTAGGGACACCAAAGTCTTGAGGAAAGATGCGTCACCGAGTCCCAGACACATGGCTCCAGGTCAAAAATCAACACTGTCTTTTTGATCTTTGTTGTGTATGAGTAGCAATCTTGAGCATGCTCTTGGCAGGATATTTCATGTCCTTCATGTTCACCAGGATCATTCCAGCATTCCAAGATTTCAACCCACACGTCAAAAAAGAAATTCGGCCGGGGCGGTCCACGCTGCTCTTTGAGCCGCCCAGTACGGGCTCGAAGACGCGGAGCCTCATGGATCATCTCGGCCCCCGAAAAAGCTGTTCTGTCTTTTGGGGGCTTAGTATATCTTAGTTAGTATAATATTGAATACCTCTGATGAATTCTAATTCATCACCCTGGATGGATCTGGGGTTCTCATCATCCTTCTTGCAGAATATTGAAGAATGCTTGTGTTGGGCTCTGAGATATTGCCCCCCCACACATCACACATCGGAGAAAAGTACGTAGCTTTTCCAGTCCTGACTTCCCATCTGTGTTTTGGGCGTCATTGACTCATTGACCCTCTGATCGTCATGCTACTCTGTAGCGATTGGCTTCCAAACGAAATCTGCTGAGATACCCACAGTGGCTGCTTCAACCTTGTGATCGCTGTCAGTTCTGTTGCCAGCGGCTTTCCACACACACTTCAGCCGTGAAACCCACAAATAAGGGACAGGAAATTGCTTTGGATAAGCTAAGTTTACCACAAATGGAGATGTGAACCAACAATATGGGGTTGTAAACAAATTCGCCAATTAAGAGTGCTACTTGAGAATTTTGAGATTGGTTCACCACAAAATGCAAGTTGTAACAGTTGACATAACCTTCTGACCTTGCACATGCCTATGGTGAGGCCAAAGGACTGGTGTTCCAGGTAGTAGTCAGCGTCCAAAGGAAGGGAAGCCTTGCAACATCGACGGGGCTAAGCCGGACCTGGGTATCTGTAAGATGTGTTGTGACCAAGGCGATTTTGCCAAGTTCATGGGGCAGAATATGCAGAATCCAGGTAACTCCATGTAACTCCATGTAACTCGATGTAACTCCATGTAACTACGGGAACTCATGGAATTTGAGCCTCGGTCAGGAAAGAGTGTTTCTTGCTGCAGTAAAGAGTTGACCAATTTTTGTCCTCACGGCTCTCTGCCTGTGCTGATCCTTTGCAGCTGGGTCTAATATCTACGGGAGCTCAGGGAGCTCAGGTTTCCAGCAGCCGCAGCCCCTCTTGGGAAATCACCTTGCACAGGATTCAGCTGTTCTTTGGCATCGTTCGGAATCGGCAACCCGAAAAATGCACAAGTTGTTCCCCCAATGTTGGAAGCTATCAAGTTGTCCAGTTCCCCTGCAACCCATCATCACAAGCATCCCAAGCATTCCCAACATCTCCATCATTGGTGAAAATAGAAGTTAGGCCGCAAACAATAGGCTTTTAAGTAGTCCTGAAAGAGGAAACGATGGGGTCTATGTTCCCTATGAATCATCCCTATCATGCTCGAAAGTCTTTGAGCCACCCGACATGTCTCCTGCCCTTCGCTCCATATCGTCGGAGGAATCGTTGCAAAAGCTGCACCTCGAAAGAACCACATGCTCGATTGTAGAAGCAGTTGAGGTTTCCTTCAACAAAAACTGGGATATCATGTCGAATGGAAAATATGGAACATATGGAACATATGGAAATGAAATCCTGAACTATGAACATGGAATACAACAACTTGTAGGCGGGACGCCTGGAAAAATCCATGGAAGAATCCTCCCTGTCTGGTGGTCCGGTGGAAGCCCTGCCTCTTCTGTCTCAGGTGCATCATGCAGTGCAACCTTGCACCAGGTGATCAAAACTGCCGGAGGCACTGCCGGATCCCGGGATCCCACATTTGCTTCACAAAGTTTCGAACACTTGAAAGATGCTGAAAGGTACCAATGTTTACATATCTTTTAAAGTGTAGATACATCCACAAGGAATGTATTGCTAAATATTGGTAAAGCAAACTTATCCGCGACAATGACCGAACTCGCGCATGCGACCAAGGCCAAATACCTGGATCAGCATGCCTCAAAACCCCAAAAATTGTCATCGGGTCCAAGAAATCGGAACATACCCTCTGGTAATTTGACACAGCTTTCGAAAGTCACGATCTTCAGTAGGCATATCATCAGCAAAATTGGTCATTTTTCATAGCAAAGTCTTAAATTACCAGAGGGTACCCGTCACCCCGTGGGCCACGTCACGGTGTTCTCTTCCTCCAAAACAGGATCCTCTCCTCTAAGGACTGCTTGAGAGTAGTTGGTGCTCGGCACTGCCACCTTCAGGTGCTGTTGGTGTTGGACAGCATAGATCTGAAGGATCAAGACCTCCATTTGATACAGCTAATTATTTGGATGTTCACTGGCATACCAAGGTTTTGATCTCTAGCTATAATATGCTATAATATGAGTATGGCATGATACAGTATTGCTTAAAATTTGAGGTCCTGGGCGCAACAAATTTGGTGTTTTCAGTGTGCAAACAACCATTTTGGGATCGACCATTTTGATCCAACTCCGCAGCTTTCTGATCCAAAAGGCACTAGTCACTGGGTCACTGACCCTCGCTGGGCTGCCAGACCCAAGTAAAGACGGACATGTGATTCTTCAGCGGAAAATTGTGGACAATATCCTGCCACGGTAGATTTCTAAGCCTGGAGCTGGTGTGCTTTTGTTCTCTGCCCCCATACAGGGTAAAAAAAATACCCTTGTTATGTTTTTTTACCTTAGAAAGGTCTGAACTCCAGGATGTTTGAAAACGATTGTTCCACAATTTTCCAATTGTCCAATTTTTCCATAATGTTTTACTTCCAGAGTTGCCACAGGTTCCAACGGCGATTCCGGCGCCAGTCCCAAACGAAGTTGATGGAGACATCCTGCTGGCCATGCCTTGGACCAGCACAGTTTCATCACCCCTGACGGTGGGAAAATTCGTGGTATATCTCATAGATGACCAACGAATAAGGGGATATCCAAATAAAATCTATTCATGAGAAGACCATTGGCGACTGCAACCGTTGTCGACTTGAAAAGGCAAGCATGTCGCTTCGGATTTTGCCATGTCCAATGTGTTTTTCCCCTTCTCCGGAGCTGGCAAGAAGCATTGCCAGGATTGTGGCGGTCATGGGGCGCCGATGGTCCAATGGAAACTTGTTCGCATCATCATTTGTTTGAAGCAAAAACCACGGGCCTGTCCGGTCATTTGATGTCAGTTGAAGATCACAAACGTGCAACCGCATATGCATGTAACGAGTCATTTAAATGACGTCTCAAGACTTGGGGGAAACAATCTCCAACATTGACACTAGAAAAGATGTGATCTACATGGCAAGTTGTCAGCAAAGTGGGTTTGGGTTTGTCAGAAATGTGCATTTTTGATACATGCCATTTTGAACCATTGTGATCCATTTTGGGGCAAACTCTCAAGTAGAGTCTCAACGTGCCTGCGCTATCACTAAAGCGTCGTACGGGTGGTGTGGCAGACAAATTCTGCGCGGAAAAGCGATCCATGCTGATGACGGCGCCTACAAAGCGGCAATAATCCTCCAACAATAACTACCCCCAACCAGGAACCGAAAATGAATAAATCTACTACCAAACCAGGGTTTTGTTTCAGGGGGAAGGCACTGGGGAAGCAACTTTTCCCAGGACAAGTCTAGAGATTGAAACCTTGATGACTTTCACCATCCTGACACATGGCTATGGGTCAAATCCCTGGTAGCCTGGTCAAACCCCATAGCTGGTATAGCTGGAAGTTCATCTTCCCAAAAAAATAGTATTTCATAGGTGTTGATCCATCCGCAAATTAAAATATACTGTAAGTCTTTGAAAATTACTTTCTTCGAGTGATCCCCGCCCTGAAACACTCTTCTGGCACAGTTTCTGACATACCGTCGTCTGGAAGTATATGTGGCATACTTATTCTGACGTTCTTTCTGGCACATACTTTAACTCCAGATCTCAGTGGGCACCGCCGGACCTCAACTACGAGCTCCAGATGGGCACTGCCGGACCTCAACTGCGAGCTCCAGATCTCAGTGGGCACTGCCGGACCTCAGTCACGAGCTCCAGATCTCAGTGGGCACTGCCAGACCTCAACCGGGAGCTCCAGATATCAGTGGCACTGCCGGACAGCCAGACGCCAGAGAGAATGTCAGATAGAACGTCCGCGGTTGAGGTCCGGCAGTGTCGACTGAGATCTGGAGTTCGCTGTTGGGGGAAGGAAGGAAGGAAGGAAGGAAGGCAGGAGGGAAGGGAAGGGAAGGGAAGGGAAGGGAAGGGAAGGGAAGGGAAGGGAAGGGAAGGGAAGGGAAGGGACGGGAAGGGAAGGGAAGGAGGGAGGGAGGAGGGAGGAAGTAACTCTGATAAAATCCAGAGACCCTCACCTGGCAAGTGGGGGAAAAAGATGAAAAGATGTGTAAAGCCCCTCCAATAGTCCAATACACAGCGACTTTCAACAATTCACCACGGCCTTCAAAGGGCTTGGCACCGGCCAGTATAAAATACTGAGGTGCCAAGAAGCTAGTGGCCTCTGGCCGTCGTCAAGTGGGGGTACCTGGACCAACTAATTTAGACCCTGCCAAATAGATCCAAATGGAGGATTGGAAGACTAGTTTCCACTAGAAACTGGCTGTTCTTAGGACCTATGTTAACTTACTCAAGCATAAATGGCTAGCCTTTTTCTAGGACCTGAAACCATCCAGAATATGGAGGGTCGATAATTTTGACCTATATTCTCTTGGGTGAAAGATATTGAGAACCGCCCAAAGTCGGAAAGGTCAACACCGAAAATGACTAAACTCCGCCGTTTTTTTCGAGTCTGTCCTTGTTGACTCACATTCAAATATCTGGATTTCTTGCAGGGTTCCATTGTCACAAGATCGGAAAAGACTGTAGACTCCCCATTAACGGCGGATAATCCAAGCAGAACAGATATGTATATGTATATTATATGACCTATATATATATACATATATATCATCTTTTAGCGATGTTATATTTATAATTTTATAATATCATCTTATATGAAATAAATGATGTTATCTGTTAGTGTCATCTTGAGGAAATCCAGGTTGAATCACATCGCGCCACATTGATCTTTGACAAAGCCGTCTCGAAGTCCGGGGTGGTCTCCATCAACTTTCGCACCTGGCCACAGTGGGGCTGGTGGCTGTTCAACCTAAAAGCTCTGATCGTCAAGTCATGATGAAACATGTGGGGGGTTCCTAAAATGGGGGATCCCCCAAAAATAGTTGGTTTATAATGGAATATTCTAAGAACAATGGATGTCAATGGATGATTTGGGGGTACCCCCATTTTAGGAAACACCAATGTCGAAGTATGCAAAGACCGCTACAGAGAATCTACGTTGAGAGTCTTAAAACTTGAGGTTGAGTGTGTAGTTTAATTGAATTCGAACACCAAACATCTGTGATATAATATATATATATACATATGCATAGTAATTGGTTTTTGCGTGTTTTTGCCACTTCTCTACCGTCTCAAATCTCAGGCTCCCAGCCAGAAAACCATACGGCTTGCCTGCGGCAAATGCTGTGCCATGTTCATAGAAAATGTGCAAGAATACCGTGCAGTTTTACTTCATCCCATCGTTTCGATCCATCTCACCCTGGAAGCAATTGTCTTGCAATCCACCAGCGTAAGTGTTCATGGTAAATCGAGGCAAAGTTTGATAGAGATGGGTGCCTGGGGTATCCTTTTTTTGGGTACCTGAGTTGGTGGTTCCTTTTTTCACTAGAGATGACCTTTATCCATGTTCAACCATGTGTCATCCAGAGTACGTTCTCATTGCGAAAAACCGTGGTTGCTTAATTACAAAAAAAAAAGCAACTGCAAAACAAAAATGGGACTTTACTTGCAGGAAAAAACTGTAGCAATTGAAATGGAACATATGAAAGTAAAGCATTATTCTTCTTGCATAAAGCAATGTTCTTCTTGCATCAAATTGCAACTGTTTTTAGTTTTTTCTCGCAATTAGGTGATTTGAAGGTGTTCGCAATTATCGTGTGCCTCCCCCTTTCGCTGACTCGAGGTTCAGCTGAGGATCGTTCATACCTGGACTCCAAATGACTTGAGCCACGCCGTTTCGGAGAACACCATGAAAATTGGTACATGGGGGATGGGTGCATACCTATCATGTTTGGGGGGATGAACATCCACAAATATGCATGTATATAATATAATAAAATATAATATAATATAATATAATATAATACAATATAATATAATACAATACAATATAATACAATATAATATAATATAATACAATACAATATAATATAATATAATACAATACAATATAATATAATATAATACAATACAATATAATACAATATAATAAAATACAATACAATATAATATAATACAATACAATACAATATAATATAATACAATACAATATAATATAATATAATACAATACAATATAATACAATATAATATAATACAATACAATATAATATAATATAATACAGTACAATATAATATAATATAATACAGTACAATATAATATAATATAATACAATATAATATAATACAATGCAATACAATACAATATAATACAATATAATATAATATAATACAATACAATATAATATAATATAAAATAATATAATATAATACAATACAATATAATTTAATATAATATAATACAATACAATATAATATGATATAATACAATACAATACAATACAATATAATATAATATAATATAATACAATACAATATAATATAATATAATACAATATAGTATAATATAATACAATATAATACAATACAATACAATAGAATACAATACAATATAATATAATATAATATAATAGATATGTATGTATAAATCCCAGCGATTTTGATGTGAACTAACTAGAGATCAACTTTCAGGTCGAGTCGTCATGATCTTCCAAACTTTGTGTAGTTGAAATTGAAATGTCAAATTTCGCCCAAGAAAACAGGCATTGATACATTTTTAAAAAAATAAAACACTTTCATCAGGCTCAGCCGCCTCGCCTAAGCGGGTGTTTTGCTCAAAACTCCAACCATTGAAGCGCATGGCCGTATGAACGCCTGCGATGATCCAAGGTTTGGTATGGCTTTGGCAACTGAATTACATGGCCATTTCAAGAGAGGAACTTTATTATAAATCATGGGATTTGGGATATTTGGGATACCCTACTCTCAAAAGGAACTTGATCATAATTCTTTTTTTTTCGCGTATTTGGGGATACCTGTGTTTCAGACAAACGCATGTCAAGCCTATCTCGCATCACTTCACTTACGCGCACCTTTCGTCCTAACCACATAAGAAAAGGTTTTGGACGTCTCTCATATGGGTTTGCCTGAAAATGTGGCGCTGGCAATTCCAGAAGATCACATGTTATTTCCCATTGAAATGGCAAAAATCAGCACTTTTAGTGCCCAAATCCATTTTAGACCCCAGTGAAACTTTATCCCAACTTCCAGGCATCCCCAAGGCGCTTCGCCTATATAAATCGGCCATTGGATCCCCATGAAGATCCTCCGTCCGCCCTTCCAGAAGTACGCCTTGGGAGCCCGGATCAAACAAAGATTGGGCGCTTTTGCAGTAAGCCAGTAGCTGGGCGATCAACAAATCATAGCAGATGGAATTTCGTGAACTATGGAGACGTGCAGAGCTATGATTTTTACAGAACCCCCACCGGGTGGACACACACACACACACAGATATATATATATATATGTATTATATATATATATGGCCCAGCGTTCCAACCCCCCTCCCCCCCGCCGCCATGGTCATGGGTCAGCCATAGTACTGTCCCCCTCTCTCCCTGTGGTGTGGTGGGGTGTGGTACTTTCTCCCTCCCCCTCCTGTGGTGTGGTGCGGGTGTGGTACTGCGTATGTCTGTATTTATATATATATATACATATATATATATACATATATATATGTATATATATATATACGTGCTATAAATATATATGTATATATGTATATATGTAAATATGTATATATGTATATATGTATGTGTATATATATACATATGTGTGTGTGTACATATATATATATATGTGAATATATGTGTATATATATATTTAAATACGAACATGCATATATATATATATATATATGTGCGTGTGTGTATATATGTATATATATATATGTATAGTATGTGTATATATATATATTATGTGTATATATATATATATTATGTATATATATAGGAAGTAGATACATAGCACATGTATATATGACTATAGGTAGCACGTAGGTACTTTGAGGGAGTATGTGAGCTACGTAGGTCGTCTAAAAGGTAGCATGTACCTCGTAAATGCGAGGCTGGTAGTCAGAATCGCTGCAGAAACCTAGCAAATGCGAGGCTGGACCTCAGAAATGCTGCCAATAGCTTGCAAATAGAAGGGAAGGGGGGTGCTACCTGGGGACCCATACCATTGGGGGGGCGGTAGGAACACGGAACACGAGACCATATCCATCCATATATATATATATGTGTGTGTGTGTGGTAGACAGCCTCCGTGACCCCACACGCCTCAAATGTGACGTCTGGCCAATCTTTGATAGTTTCATCTGGCATTTTGAACCTTGGCTCTTTCCCAAGCAAAGTGTGCCCTTCATGATCAAGCAAGGGCTCATCTCCTTATCATTCAAATCATATACCCTCAAGTAACTTAAGCTGGCTGGCTCGAGAGTCACAAAAGTATACAAAAGTGACTTGTCCCATGGAAGAGTTGCAACTCTCAGCCAGCCATGTACCAAAGGATAATGTTCTCCACTCTGTATGATCCACATGGCAGTCCCTTCTCACAGCAGTGGCCAAGCCACAAGAATTGATAATCCATGTTGCGTCCATGGATGACCTGCTGGCTACACCGGTGGCCCACATGGAAAACATCTCCTTTAAGCTTTAAGCCATGTGTATTTTGTATATATATATATATAGATAGATTATGTTTCCATGGAAAAGTGTTGGTTTCCACGAGAAATGGTGCAATTTTCAAACTGGTGCTCAGCTGGATAGAGCAGAGATTGCCCAAAGTGGAGGACAAATCCTTGGCAAAGGAGAAGCCTGGGAGAGCAGAACGGAAACCTAACGAACTCAGGGAGCGAAACACAGCTTCGCCTGCTGTGGTTGGCTTGAAACATTGCTAGTCTTGGATACCCTGCACAATGGCTGATTTTGTGGGCAGATCATCTTCCATTTGGATTTGCCCAAAAATTGGGGATACGCCTGAGCCATTTTACAGTGATGTGGAAGATGATGTTCCAAAACATTGGGATTTTGGTGCCCCACAATTTTCGGGCCCGAAAATGTACCAAACCTATTTATCGCTGAAGAACATCAGCAATTGTCAGCTACCAAAAAAAACCACTCGCAGCTTACGCTGGATTCTCAACATCTGGAGGCCTTGCCATTCACATCCGCAGCCAATAGCCCCGAGCAAGCTTGGGTGAGTGTAGGAGATCCCATCCTCAGAGCACTGAGGTGTTTCTGACCGGAAAACTGAGGCTGATGGATATATGGAGGGTCATCCCAGCAAGCATCTGGTAATCTAGAATCATATCTAATCGTATATCATATAGAATATGTCAAATATTGAATACAGTATATAATCATATGTTTTTTATATATGTATATTAATATTATATATTGATATTTATATATAATTGTATATATATAACTATATATATATATGTATACCACTGTATAATACTCCATGCTCAAATGGGAGAAAACCCAAGGAATCACTGACTTGTTCCTTTGGGCTATTCCGCACTTTCTAACCAGGATGTTCCTACGCGTACCATGCAACTTGGAGGTCAGCTGCCTGAGAAGCAGCTGGTCGGCACAGCATCCACAGGATCATCTGGGTGTGTCTGAAAATCGGAGACCCTGATGGCCAGCTCAATGGACAAAATGATACTAAACCATCAAATTTGCAAGTACCCTAGTTTCCGACAAACTGATCGAGTTCCACTGAAGCCAAGGATCTCGTAAAGAATGTTGAACCTTCGCAGGAAATCTGCTCGGAAATCACAAAGAAACCCCAGCCCCCACGCGACATCATCGCAAGCTTCGTCCAACAAATATGGGTCCAAACCTTCCGATGTTGGTCTGAAACCTACTGGTTGGTTGAGGGGTCGTCATGTTGGATCCTTGTAACTGTATTCGTCCAGGATCCCACAAAAACTGTCAGTATTGCATCATGCTAGGCTCGTAGTCCGTTGATAATTTGTGTCAATGCTTCTGAGGTCCCATCAATAGAACCATAGCAGTGTTAAATTCTTGGCTTAGCTGGCCACCAATCACCTCAAATTAGGCCAGCTACAGGTTCAAGGTGTCCAGGCTGAAGGAAAGGTTCGTTCCAAGCCCCTGACAGAAAGGAACAGCCCACATAGGTTGAACATTTGAGGGAAAAATCATGAGAAAATCCAGTCCATTCCATGGGTGGAAAAAAGAACAATGATACAATCCTAATGAAAGTTGCTATTAATGGTCGATGGTGGGTATCACCCAACGCCACACCTTTGTCGGGGAAAGTTGCTTCCGTTGATGCAGTTGAATACTTCGCCCGGGTGGCAAATCGTGTTTTTGGAGTTCGAACTTGGAGATTCCTGCATTCAATTTATAGATTTATAAGAGTTCCTATGTATATATAATACTATATATAATATATTTATATGATAATATATATTTATATAATAAAAAAAATGTATATATTTATATAATAATAAATATATATAATATTGTATATATTTATAAAATAATAAACAAATATATATAATATTGTATATATTTATATAATAATATAAATATATTTATATTATAGTGTATATTTATATAATAATTAATAATATATCTATTTTATAAAATAATATCTATTTTTATACTAATATATATATATATTATTATATATATATACTATAATTACTAAAATATCATATATATATAATATACTAAAATATTTAGATATAATACACTCTTAACTTTTGACGAACATCCTGTGGGCCAATATCAACAAAATTGCGAATCTCCTTGGGACAGGCCTGGGTATATAATATGTTCATGGTCCTTTTAGGAGGTTGCGAGCATCCAAAACTAGGAACGTACTGAGAAAATGTATTAACATAGATCCTCTGGATAGCAACATGTGGAATGCAGGGGAAAATGCGATTATCGACATCTAGCTTAACATAAACCTACCAAACAAGGCCCAACAAACCCTGACAACTCTCCGGCGACGATCATTAAATTCAGCAGCGCATTTTTTTCGACTGCCTCCCTAAAGGCATTCTCGTTTTTTCTTTTCTGTGCTAATGTAAACCCATTTCAACGCTAGATTTCTAACGCGGTTTCCATTGACAAAGTTCAGCATCTTCATCCCTTTGTCTCCTGGAAAGGAAAAGCTAAGTCATAAACATATACCCTGTATTAGTTCTAGAATCAACTTCAAAACTTGTTGGATTTGAAACAATTCCTGTTTCAAATCCAACAAGTTTTGAAGTTGATTCTAGAACTAGTACAGGGTATATGTTTATGACTTAGCTTTTCCTTTCCAGGAGACAAAGGGATGAAGATGCTGAACATTGTCAATGTTTAAACCTCTCGCAGAGCACCTGAAGAATGCTATCTTGCGTTAGCATAACCCCGGGCACTTGCAGACACAAAGTGTGGTGGATACATGCACCTACAGAAGCTCTCTCTGTAGGGTTATGTTAATGCAATTTTGAGTTTTTGTTCCTTGAAAATGGTTTAACATAAACCCTGGCAACATTAAGAAAAAAAAGGAAGTTTTAACATAGACTGCGTCCGAGCTTTGCTCACAACGGGGGTTTTCGTCAAAAGGTAGGAGAGTATACTGTAATATATACATATATATATACATGATAATAATAATAATATGATGATAATAATAGTAATATTTATATATATACAATGATATATATATATATAATGACAATGATATATATATATATAATGGCAATGATATATATATATATATAATGACAATGATATAATGTGTATATATATATATATGTTTTAGTATTGTCATTGCGTTTTGGTATTGTCATTGTTCAGTATCAACGTATCGATTTGGGGCTTTAGTTTTTTTGAAAATTAGTTGGCAGCAGAGTTCTGCTGCGGAACTCAGGCGCACTGAAAATCCAACTAACCTGCGATCGGTTCATGTCAGACAGCCTCTGTCACACTCAGAGATTGTGGTGGATAAATCTTTGGATAGTGACCATGGTTGTAAATGGTTATAAGCCATCGGGTTTTGTCCCAAGATTGGGGGATATCCTCATTGCCGTCTAGGAAGTCAAGTTTTGATAAGCGGATATCTGGGGGGTCCCCTTTTTCGGACGACGCCATCATCAAACAGCCCCTGGTAAACCAAGATAGCTACAGAAAATTTGATAGGTAACATCTGGCAAACTAACATAGCTATGGAAAATCACCATTTCTAGTGGGTAAATCGGTTTGTATCATCTATAAATGGTCCATGTTCAATAGCTATGTTAGTTTACCAGAGGGTACATTGGTACATCATCCCTGGGCATTCCGGGCCTCATAGATGCCCAGCAACTCTTCTTGATACTCTTCACCTGGGCGATTGGCGAGCCAAATCCGGTTCAATTCACCGTGTGATGGGTCAAAACCCCCGACTCGTGAACATCAAATCGTTTGTAAATAGACCTTCATCCCCAAAAATATGGGTATTATAGGTGTTCAATGGTTTTCACATATCCCCATGTCTATTTGGCCGGATCCAATCAAGTGGAGTCCAGCAGCTGTTGTCTGTGCCGTAGCGAAGCCAGTCTGCCTTGCCGAACCGGCCACTGACCCATGAAACTGGGACACATGGCCTTATATATATATATATATACGTGCTTTTGGCACTTCTGTCTAAATGTATATGTGCAGACCATACATACATATATATATATATTAATATGCAAATGGCTGTGTCTGAAAAAGGGCAATTAATCCCCGCATTGCCATTTAAACTGGGAAATGCCATCATAACCGGATTTCTCATCATGTTAGGGTACCAAACCCATATGACCCCATATGGCCATATGAGTCATTAAAACTACCACTATCCCAGCTCGTTATTATACTAGGTGATTGATAGGTTTCCCGTTCCTATGGTTTAGTTCATAATCCCCAATAAGGCTCGTAGACCATGTCAGTATCGAAGCTCCTGACTTGGGGATTTCAAGAACACCCCATCATGGGAAAGCTCAAAAAAAAACAGGATGGGTTTCTGCTCAGATTTCCCAGTTTCTGCTGGCCCAAAAGCCTATGGATTTTCCAAGCACTCGGCCTTTTCGGCTGGCTGGAGGGTGGCTTGCAACATCGCCTCCCATGTGTCCATCATCGTGAGGATCTCCTGGGAAAACGCTGGGAGTTCCCTGGAGCTGCTGGAAAATTCGGAGTACTGAGCTTTAAGCAGCAATCCTGTCGGTAGTACTTGGTGACCTCCAGCCATCTTTGCCTTGGAGGTAAGTCCAAGTTGATGTCGAAGTGCGGCCTTAGGGCGAAACAATATACAATGTCTATCATGACATTGTATCTAATATGTATACTATATATATGGATTTTCAGCCGTTTCTGTAGACATATATAATAGTATATACTTATATGCTTATGCATTTATATTTATATATAATTATACATTTACACACAACCTAAATTATATATAATATATAATATATAATATATAATATATAATATATAATATATAATA